TTCAGGTGGGTTGTCTGTTCATTTGGGGAGGCTGGGGGTATTAGGGACAGAACTAAGAAGAAACCAGAAGTTTGAAGTCTGGTGGGCAAAAAAAAAAAAGGAAAGAAAAGGAGACCGTGTGTGTGTGTGTGTGTGTGTGTGTCTGTGTTGGGGGCTGGGGGGCAGGAAATCTCAGCTGAGGAAAACAGAATAAGTCACTTAGTCTCCAGAAACAAGGAGAAGTCTTCTTAGAGGATCCCTCTGGTTAGAAGACAGGGGAGAGTTTGTGAGTCAGTGAACCAAGTAGAAGGGTGAAGCTGGGGGGAGTCTGAGGTTGTGTGGAAGGCTTGCACCAGGGCCTGAGGGGTTGGGATGCAGGCAGGAAAGGAGGAGGTATGGTTTCATTATTACTTTGGATCAGACAGACCTGCTGGGGCCCTTATGAAGAGTGTGCCCTTGGGCCAGTCACTTTGACCTCTGTGCCTCAGTTTCCTCACCTATAAAATTGAATTGTTAATAGTACCTACCTCAGGTAGTTGTAAGGATTTAATGAGAAAATATTCATGAAAAGTGCTTTGTATCATGTCTGGCACATTATAAGTGCTCAATAAATGGTAGTTATTATTTTTTTAACATCTTTATTGGAGTATAATTGCCTTACAACGGTGTGTTAGTTTCTGCTGTATAACAAAGTGAATCAGCTATATGTATACATATATCCCCATATCCCTTCCCTCTTGCATCTCCCTCCCTCCCACCCTTCCTATCCCACCCCTCTAGGTGGTCACAAAGCACCGAGCTGATCTCCCTGTGCTATGCGGCTGTTTCCCACTAGCTATCGATTTTACATTTGGTAGTGTATATATGTCCATGCCACTCTCTCACTTCAGCCCAGCTCACCCTTCCCCTTCCCCATGCCCTCAAGTCCATTCTCTATGTCTGCATCTTTATTCCTGTCCTGCTTCTAGGTTCTTCAGAACCATTTTTTATAGTAGTTATAATGATATGAGATAGAAGGTGCCTGGGATTTAATAAAGGCTTGTATCTATGCCAGATATTCACTGTATTCTTGTTACTGATTTTTCTAAGCCTTAGGAAACTGAGAAAGACCTCAGCTTGGGACTAGAGGTAGAGGCAAGGGGCTTGTCCAGGTAAGGTCTGGGTAAGGTAAGGCAGTCAACCCGGGGTGCTGTGCTAAGCCAGGTAGACAGCAGCATGAGGGCTCAGCATGGGGATGTGGGAAGCCACAAAAGCAGATCCCATCTTTAAAAACTATTTTTCTAAAGGCAGGCTCTAAACTTCATCATCCAGCTCCTAGAGATGTAACTCTGCTTCATGCTTCTCCTCCTTGCTGGGACATGTTTCCTGTTGGCACAGGAAAGACTTCCTTCCCATCTGAAGATATTTTCATGCGGAATCAAAGAATGGGAGGTAGAAAGGAGCGAGGCCAGCTCCTACACTCTTACTGCCCCCCCATAAACACCAGGCCAATCCTTGCTGGTGTGCAAGCTATTTCCCTGCCAGAAATGAGATCTGAAAGCCAGCCTCACTTTTCTGTCTTTCCAGATTTGACCTCAAGGCTCAGCTCAATGTGTAATTTCTAAATCAACCTCACAACAACGCAATCAGATAGGTACTGCTTGGGGGGTAGCCAGAAAAACAGAAATCACTTTAAGCCTTTCAAGCATGGAGATTTAATACAGAGGGTACTCACAGGTGATGGAGGAGCTGAGAAACCAAGAAGAGGGCAGTGAGGCAACTCAGAGATTAGCAGCAACAGGAAGCCCCTTTTATCCCTGGAGTTGGAGGGACGACTGGAAGACGTGGTGAGTGGTGTTTCCAGAGCTTGTAGACTGGGGCTATCTGGTGGGAGCTCGAGCCAAGATGGGGCTGCCCTGCAGAAGCTGGGGCCAAGGAGGGGTGGGATGCCTGGTGGTAGCTGGAGGTGAGCCACCTAGGAAACACAGCTGCTGCTGGAGTTGCCACAAAAAGTGAGGCTGGCGATGGGGAAGAAATATCCTAGCTTCTCTCTTCTTCATACCTTCTGGTTGGTCAAACCCACACAGAAACAAATGGCAAGGGACTGCGGGGAATGTAGTTCCCTGATACAGAACAGAGCAGGAAATGAACAGGGAATGGATCTGAGAGTAAGCAGCAGATGAAAAGCCTAATTATCCATCCCCATTTTACAGAGGAGTCAAATGAGGCAGAAAGAGGTTAAGTTGCCCCAAACTACACTAAGTGGCAGTCCAGGTTTCAAATCCAGGCAGTCTGACTACTCCTGAGCCCATGCTGTCTGTAATCACTACTATTATATACTCACGGTAAGAGCACTATTGTTATTTTACTCAAGGCAGACTTTTCCCTCTAGATTTAAAGCTCCCTGAAGGCATCTACTGTGTCTTTACCTTTATATCATTTATAGCACCTAGGTTTTGTGGATTTTTCCGAACCTACCAGAAAATGTAGATTTTTGACTAAAATGGGATTATCAGCAGGTTTTCATAGGTTCCCCATAACCTGGGGTGAGTGGAGGGGACTATGAAAATGTCCTCTGCCATTCTGAATGTTTGTTTTCTTGTTAGTGAAATGTAGCAATTTCTGATCAGATTCCAGACAATGGTTTGGCAACAGGGAAAAGTCTAAGCGGCAATGAGAAAAATTAGTATCTAGATTGCTTGAGGGCATCCCAAAGGGAAGAGACAGTTATTAAAATTTGAAATGGCTTGGCTCTAATGTCATAAAATTTCTACAACTTGAATTGAGCAGCTCCTTCACTTGGGAAGAGGATATACTATCCCTTATATGACTTGGCTGGCAGTGTTTATGTTTTATTCTGTTTTATTAAGCAACAGGTCTTGGGTACTAAGAGTACTCAGTTATGTTGGAAGAAGTGTCAGTGATTCCTATCTAAATGAAATCTACAGGCACAGGAACTGGTAGGACAAGGTGATCGGACAGTTCAGAATGGTGGTATAACTGGGGCAGGAAAGAAGATGTGTTAGAGACCTTGTAGTGAAAGTGCATTTCCAGTGCTTCTTGGCCTCAAGGTAAGTGTCAATGTGATAGGATAGTGGTCTGTGCATGGGCCTTGGTGTTAGACTACCTCAGTTCAAATCTAGGCTCTACCACTCTCCAGCATATGGCTTTACCAGTATACTGGGGAACCATACATATTGTAATACAGTCCACTACTCTGGTTTTTCTCCTACCTCTCTGGTTGTTCTTTCTCAGTTTCTTTGCATGATCAATTCTGTCTTTCCAACCTCTAAACATTGGAGTACCCTGGGCCTCATTTTTGGATGTCTTTTCTATGCACAGTCACTCCTGTTGTGATCTCTCCAAGTCCCATGGTTTTAAATACTGTGGACATACTGCGACTCCCAAATCTCTGTCTCCAGCCTCTCTGCTGGACCTGTAAACCACTGCCTACCCAACATCTCCACTCAGATGTCTAATAGGCATTTCTCACTCTACATGTCTAAAACCCAACTCTGGATCTCTGCCCCCTCCCAAGCCTGTTCCTTTCCCACTCTTCCCCAACTCAGTAAGGGATGAATCCACCCTTGCAGTTACTCAAGGCCCCAAATCATGGCGCCATCCTTGACTCCTCTCTTTTGTTCACACCCCACATCTCCATCAGCAAACTGGATCTATTTTTGAAATATATCTAGAACCTGACCATTTCTCATTGTGTCCTTCGTGACCACCCTTGTCTAAGCCACCAACAGCTCTTGTCTGGGTCAGTGTAATGGTCTCATAATTTGTCTCTGTCCCAGTACCATTCCATCTTTTTTCAATCAACCACATCAATCTTATTAAAATGTCAGTTAGATCATGTACCTCCTCTGCTTAAAACCCACAGCTCCCCATTTCACTCAGAGAAGAAGCCAAAGTCTTCACAAAGGTCTATCCGGCCCTACATGATCTGTCCCTCACCCCCATTACCTCTCTGACCTCATCTCTTACTTCTCTCCCCTTTGTGTATTCCACTTCAGTCACACTGGCCTTCCCAAGACTGAAATCAAGGTGTCAGCATAACTCAGCTGTTATCTAGAGACTCCGGAGAAGAATCTGTTTCAAGTTCATTTATGTTGTTGGCAGAACTCATTTCCTTGTGGTAGTAGGACTGAGGTCCCCACTTTCATGCAGGCTGTCAGCTGGGGGCCATTCTCAACTCCTAGAGGCTGCCCATATTTTTTTACCACATGACTCCATCTTCAAGCCAGCAATGACACATCAAATCCTCCATGTGCTTCAAATCTCTGACATTCTCTTCTGCTACCAGCTGGAGAAAACTCCGCTTTTAAAAGACTCGTGTGATTAGATCAGGCCCACCTGGATAATTTCCCTGAGTAGTAACCTTAATTATATCTGAAAAACCCCTTTTGCCATGTAATGCAACATAATCACAAGTGTGCTATCTCACCATATTCACAGTCCTAATGATTAGGGCGGGAAATCTTGGGGGAGCATTTTAGCGCTGTACCCGCCACAGTAATAGTCAGACTGAGAAACTGACCAATCAGAATGTACGCCAACAATAGCACTGGAGCAGGGGCGTGGATAATACCTGCTGCTCCAGGTGTTACACTTTACTTGCTGGATTGTGAGGTGACCTGGAGGTGTCCCAGAGGCAACAGCCGGAGTGGCAGCTATTTACCAACTGGTATGAATATATTTTTTATTTATTTATTTTTTTGCGGTACGCGGGCCTCTCACTGTCGTGGCCTCTCCCGTTGCGGAGCACAGGCTCCGGACGCGCAGGCTCAGCGGCCATGGCTCACGGGCCCAGCCGCTCCGCGGCATGTGGGATCTTCCCGGACCGGGGCACGAACCCGTGTCCCCTGCATCGGCAGGCGGACTCTCGACCACTGCGCCACCAGGGAAGCCCCAAGTATGAAAATATTTTAACAACCAGGGACTGTAACAGTGCATAGCAGTTGTTTATCTAGTTACAAATCATGGTGTAGCGTGTGAAGTGCTGCCTTCTTTGAGCTTTGAGAGTCTGAGGTTGGTCCTGGATGACTAGGGGAAGGCGGGGAGACCACCTGCCCTCCTTGGCACTTCCATGGTGTGCAGTGGCCCCTTCCAGCCTTGCCTGCTGTTTTTGCGGCGCCAGGTATTTTTCTGAAGAATGTCTTCATTTGCATGGTTGTCTTACGCAGTGGGAGAGTCCATCCATCATCTGAGCCTCCAAATGCCGCCACCTCAAGGGAGACAACCAGTCCTACATATATGGCCTCTCCCCAAGCCATCCAGCAGATGTGGCTTAGTGAGGCAAGCGCTGTTTACTTGCTCTCAGCATTAGCGTGGACACTTCACAGCAGCCAAAGAAACCGAGGGTTCTTATTAACTTGCTTAGTGAAGCTTGACCACACATCATCATGACCCTCATGTTTTCTGAGGACCGATCTCAGGCAACAGAGATGCCCTTTGTGGGTGAGTTGGGGTAGGAAGAGGGCCTGAGTTAAATGACTTTTCTGGGACTGGTCTGTTTCTCCCACCTAATATTTATATATGGGTGAATTTGATTAAAATGGTATCAAGGACAGCTTCACGTGATGGAACTGGGAGCATACACATCAGGAACGACAGAGACAAGGTGGATGTGTTGAAAGAAGTGTCACAGAGGGAAATAAGCAGCTTGAGGGAGATGTAGAGGATAAAGGGAGGAGAGTAAATCACTGCTAATTGCAAACAACACTAATAATAATATACAATATGGCCAGCTTCACCTGCTGATGTTGGCGGGGACCACAGAGCACAGGTGAACAGATTCACAGTGAAGCCTGTCAGTAACTGAGTCTCTGCTTAGACTGAGTCAGCCTGTGGTACCTTTTGAAGTAGGAGAGATTTTTGTCTTCAGTGGCTTCCCTTCCTGTAAGCTTTCCCTCATATCTGGGCCTTTCTAAAAACTGCATTAATACTGAAGTGGAGATGTTGCAAGTGGAATCAAATCTACTTGCTGGTATTTGCCATGTAAGCAGAACCAGGTATTTTTGGAATCAGGTTGCCCAATATCAGGATCCCACTGGATCCGATTCCAAATGGTAAAGACACATTAACAGAGGATCCCAAAGCAGCGGGTAGTATTCAGGATGGTTGGTCATGACTCTAGATGTGTGACGTGATATAGACCCTATTGAGGCCATCTCTCTGCAAACCCCACCCCCTAGCTCTCTCTCAAGCTGAGGTGTTTTCTTCAGGTGCAACAGTAGGTAGCATGCAAACACAACTTATTAACAGCAAGTGAGAGAGCTGGAGTTGAAGATTTCTACCCTTCCTAGCAAAATGTCACTGAGCTCAGTAGGAGACGCTACAGCCCTATCTCCCTTTTCCTCTGCCATTAGGAACAGTCAGCTGCAAGACAACCAGGGAGAAAATGGCAAATGCCTCAGCATGAATATTGCCATCTTCGGTAGGAGTAGGGCGTTTGGCTGGTAGGCATAGTGGTGGAAATATAAGCCCCTGAAATTCTATGCCTTTCCCCCTTATAAAGACAGGCTAGGAGTGAGCATAGAGTGTTTCAGAGTTGTTGGCCTAGTTGGGTTTGAAGGAGAGAAAGAAATTGAACTATATTCCATTTCAAAAGCAACAGATAGAATTTCAACCTAGAAGGGACCTTGAGAGCCTATCCTATTCATCTGTAGACACTCAGACTCATAGGATATCAGAGCTGGCAAGGATATTAAAGACCATCGAGTCAGACACACAAATGACCAACAGGTACATGTAAATCAAAATTACAATGAGATATCACTTCATACCTGTTAGAATGCCTATTATAAAAACGATAAAAGATAAGTTGTGGTGAGGGTATGGAGAAAAGGGAACCCTGGTGCACTGTTGGTGGGAATGAAAACTGGTGCAGCCACTATGGAAAACAGCATGGAGGTTCCTTAAAAAATTAAAAGTAGAGCTGCCATATGGCCCAGAAATTGCACTTCTGGGTATTTATCTGAAGGAAATGAAATCACTGTCTTGAACAGATATCTGCACCACCACATTCAGTGCAGTATTATTCACAATAGACAAGACATGCAAACAACCTAAGTATCCATTGACGGATGGATAAAGAAAGTATGGGTAAGGAAAATATGGTATATATATACACGTACACAACTAAAGATACAAATTCACTGATACTCAAGTAAGCAGGACCTCAGATAGCCAGAACTTCTTTGCTAATACTCCATTTCTAGAAATGATAGTTAGATCATAAGAAAATAAGCTAAGTTTAGATGTTCATTTTGACATCAAAAACCAGGACAGAGCTTGGACTGATCCCATATCCTATACCTTCGCCATTTCTAGTTTAGAGTAATAAACGCTACTGATCTAAACGATAACATGATGGTCAAAGATTCAGCGATAGACTCTACTTAAGAGCATGCCACAGTGGACTGCAGTTACTCATACATTGTTGATAAAAAAAAAAACAGCCACTCTCTGAGAAGGTTGTCCTTGGCAATGGACTGCTCAGTTTGGGGAGGGAGATGTCTGCAGTGAAGATGGAGATAAAGCCCTCCCACCTAGAGAACTGGATCAGCTCAATCAACCCTGGAGATTAGTGAGGGGATATGTTGTAGCCAAACTGCTCATACCTCCTGAGCTCTTCTTACTAAGGCAAGAAAATGGATTCAGAGATTTAAACATAATTTTAACAGGTAACCAAAGAGTCTTATTAACTAGAACATCTTCTAGACTACTGCGATCCAATGGACTGAGTCCAAACTGAGTTACCTTGGAAAGAAATAATTCAATCTAATAGCTGGAAAAGCTAATGTAAAATAACTAAGGCAGATAGACTATATCATTGGGTTTCCAATGGGCTCCAGGCCACTGTCACCACTCCTGAAACCAAGGTAACCGCCCTTATAGAGCAAAGCTACTCACGGCAATAAGCTGGTAGGAGTTGTTCATCATGGCGATCAGCATGTTCAGCAGCACTACCAGGGAGATGACATTGTACGTCCCAAACATGGTCGCTCCCACAAACTCTGTGAACTCGTGTCTGGCTTTTACATTGGTAACATAGAGATTCAAAAGGCCGAATACAGACCAGAAGAGTGACTGAAGGGTTTCAAAGAGCCTAAAAGAGATCGAAGAATAGGCTAGTTAATTCTCTAAGAGGAGCAAGAAAAGAGCAAAAACATGAGGTGATTTGCTTAATTAATAAGGAGGCTGCCTGATTTGCATCCCAACAGGTAGACTCATGATCTCACGTATTTTGGTCTCTTCCCCAACACGAACCAGCCAGGTCAGTTTGTTTGTTCCCACTTCTATGTCTTATGCTTTGCCTTTCCACCTGGAATACCATCTTCCTCTTCTCAATCTATGCAGAGCCTATCATTTTCCAAGATTTATTTCAAGGGCTACTTCCTACACCAAACTTGCCCCTTCATCTTCAGACCATGTGTTTTACCACCTTTCTAATTACATAGAGGCAGTAAGTGCAGTGGCTAAGAATATGGTGCTTGGATTAGATTGCCCTAGGTTAAAAACTCAGCTCTGACACTTGCCAGCTGAGTGAACATGAGCAACTTAAACCATTTCTGATACTTCTTTTGTGGTTCCCACAGGGCCCAGAATGGAGCTAAGCTCAGTGGAGGAGCTTAAGGATTCTTGAATGAACATTTATATGAATTATTTTTAATGATATATTAACTAACAATTATTGAGGACTTACTATATAAGCATACTAGGCACTTTACATACATTAACATTATGATCCTTATAAAAACTTTATTGTTACTGCTGTGGAAACAGAGGTTCAGAGATTGAATAACTTGCCCAAGGTCACCCATTTATATGATTTATATGTGCTGAGCCGGAATTCAAATCCAGGTTCTTCTGACCTCCCCAAACCACTGCATTATTCTACATTAGGTGGCTTCACAAATTATGGTTTCCTCTCAGAGTCTCCACATCCAAATATGTAACTTTTGCAATGATATGTTTTGGGGGTCCAGGGTTTCTTTTGCATCATATTCAGAAATCTGTGCATACAGCAATACAGTGCAGCCGGCTCCTGGGTGGCACAAACCAACCTTTTCCCAAGCACACGGAAGAGGCATAGAAGTTAAGAAATGCTACTTTAAGAATAGATGTAGGGGGCTTCCCTGGTGGTGCAGTGGTTGAGAGTCCGCCTGCGGATGCAGGGGACGCGGGTTCGTGCCCCAGTCTGGGAGGATCCCGCATGCCGCGGAGCGGCTGGGCCCGTGAGCCATGGCTGCTGGGACTGTGCATCCGGAGCCTGTGCTGCGCAACGGGAGAGGCCACAACATTGAGAGGCCCGTGTACCAAAAAAAAAAAAAAAAAAAAAAAAGAATAGATGTAACTTTTCAATTGCTCAAAATGTGTTGTTTTTATAGCCCAATATATTTTGAGAGGCTGAGGGGTTGGTTCTTGGGTTCATTTCAGGGGTATGTATGGACAGTGTTTTAAAGATTTCCTCTGTCTGGGAGTGGTCTTACCCCTGATCTCTGCATGGCTGTCTCCTTATCATCATTAAGGTCTCAGTTCAAATGTCACTCCCTCAGACAGAGTCCCCAGGGTCACTCTACCTAAAGTGGCTTCACTGGTTATTCTCTATCCTGTTGTCTTGTTTCAGTTTTTTGGTAGCACTTAAAACTCTAAAATTATATTATTTAGTAAATTTTTGTTTAAATGTTGATTTTCTGTTCATCCCCACTAGAATGTAAGCTCTATGAGGAAAGAGACAGACATACAGCTACTATGTACCTGGCACGTAATAGGCACTCAATAATATTCGTTGAATAAATGAATGAAGACATATTACTATTACAGTTATCACTGGATTAAGGTCTAGAAGATTCCAAACCCATTGACAATTGCACATTCATTAGGCTGCACAGTGAGTGTTAGTTCATTTTGATGAAGGTTGTGCTCTGCAGTGGCCTAATTCTCAGGGGGCCTGCTTCGGGGCTCCCTGGGCAACGTGCACATAGCCCTTTTCAACCTGTTAAATGGCTCCTCTCTAATCATTGTGGATAGCTTCCACTGTCTTTTCAGTATCACATTACTTGAGAGCTAGCCAAGAAGGAAGAAATCTGTTTTTTGTTTGATGAAAGTAAGCGCCAGATGGTGAAACATTTGAGAATCAACAGTAAGATGAGAGTCTGGACTTCAAGGGCCAGGGAACAAGAACCAGAATATGGCAAGTCAGACCTATCACAGGATCTGAATTTCCAGGAGATTCTACAAGTCAGGGCCAGGCAATACAATGCATCACAGATACAGGCAGAGTTTCAAAAATGGGGCAGATATAGGGTTCAAGAGTCTGGTTCTGTTAGGAAGGCCTATCTAGGACCTGGCCGTGTCCGTTTGACGTCAGGGCAGGCAGGAGGCCAGCAACGGCACAAGAAGCTAGCCCAGCAGCTGGATAAACAAAAGCCAGGGAATATATCATTCAGAAAAACAGAAAGAAGATGCAGCAAGTAGGAATGACACTGAAGAACCAGAGTCGCTGGAAGTTGAGTGTCCCTGAATATAGAAAGCATTCATTAGGTGTTTCTTGACTGCATGACAGACAACAAGGCCACAAGCCAGGGCAAGTATGTCATCAATATGTTGGCAGGGTCTTACTTCATCAGTTGCTTCTCCAGAACGGATGATGTTACACTCCTTCACCCCCAGCCCCGTAACAATGAAAATTGCAGTGGTTAACGCTTGAGTGTAGAGTTTAATACTAGCCATTCCAATGGCTGATACAAAGATTCCTAAAAGTGAAAGTCCGGGCATTTAAAATCTGCCCTAAACTGTGGTGATATTCTAGTTAGGGAGACCCTACAGGTATAACTGTACAAGAGATAAGAAAAGGGGTAAAGATTGTTCCTCAGTTTTGGCGGTTGATAGTGAGAATGCCCTTGACATGAGGCACAAAATGTCACAACATAGTCTGGCCATTAGGAGAATCTGGTTTATTGAAAGGCATGACTGGATAAAATGAGTGACTGACATTTGGGGTAGATAAGCACATCTGATGAAACATCTATAGGAAGCTCTGTCTTCTAGGCTTCTAGACTCAGTTGAATTCACAGGGAAAGGGCCATTACCTAGGGGTACTTGGTGGTCGGGTCCATAATACAATTATCACAGGGATAGAAAGACTTGTTGACCTAAATGCAGACCCTAATGCCAAAGGAATATTATTTTGATTTTAAAGGAGATGACCTGAGAGAAAACAATCAGTCCATTTTTATTTAGCAGAGAGTCAGCAAACATATGGAACTTGCTAGCTCAACAAGGGGCACAAAGTGAAGATACAAAGATTCAAGAAGACTTGATATTAACTGTTGGGAAGACAAATCCATACCATCTGGTTAAGGGGGATTTGTGCATGTTGGGAGCCGTCCATAAATAGATCACAAAGCTAAGAGCTGCTCAGTAGAATAGAGATGGGAACTGTAGTTCTCATGTCCCTTGCTGAAATTCTTGTCTTTGAGATGAGGACTTAATCTTTCAAAAGGTAGCAGGAGGGACTTCCCTGGTGGTGCAGTGGTTAAGAATCCGCCTGCCAATGCAGGGGACACGGGTTCGAGCCCTGGTCCGGGAAGATCCCACAAGCCGCAAAGCAACTAAGCCCGTGTGCCACAACTACTGAGCCTGCGCTCTAGAGCCCGCGAGCCACAACTACTGAAGCCCGCGCGCCTAGAGCCCGTGCTCTGCAACAAGAGAAGCCACTGCAATGAGAAGCCCGCGCACCACAACGAAGAGTAGACCCCACTCACCGCAACTAGAGAAAGCCAGCATGCAGCAATGAAGACCCAATGCAGCCAAAACTAAAATAAACAAATAAATATTAAAAAAAAAAAAAGAAAAAAAGGTAGCAGGAGTATGGAGAAGATTTACCCCTCTGGACTTCATTCTGACCAGTGAAGAACTGGAGGATGTACCAGAAGAGAAAGGCTCCTTGGGAGAAAGCAGTGCTATCATCCTTTCACAAGTTGTGCTGATAACACACATGGAGCAAAGGCATGGTCATCTCTTTGGTTATCCCTACCCATTTTGCAGTTCCCCAGACCTGCAATTTCTCATTTCATCCTGCCTTTGACAAGCTTCTAACTCTGGTTGGAGTGCTCCCACCCTACTCCCAACCTCTAGTCTCTACTTCTGTCCTGTCTCCTTCTCTGCCCAACTCTTGTTTGACCTGCCAGGCTCAGCTGAAGCCCCACCTCCTCTAGAAGTTTCCCCTGACTCCTTTCCTACAAGGTGGGGTTAGATGATCCTCTTTTATTCTCCCATGGCAGCCCAGCCTTAGTCCATAAAGGCACATGTCATGCTGTAGAGGCAAGAGAGGCGAGTGGCTAAGAGCAAACTGTAGGCACCTTTACTTATTAACCATATGACTTTGGGAAAGTGGCACAGCCTCTTTAAACTTCAAGTTTCCTCATCTCTAAAATGGTCATTTGTAGGATAAATACTAACTGTTATCATTTATTGTGCTCTTACTATGTGCCAGGCACACATTGTAATATTTGATTCTCAAAATAACCCTATGAAGTAGCTACTATTCTTTTCTTTTTTTCAGATGAGAAACTGAGGCACAGAGTGGTCACACAGGCAGAAAATGGCAGAGGTAGGATTTATACCCAGCTCTTCTGACTCTGGAGTCCAAACACTTAACCACCTTTTTTTTTTTTTTTAATCACATAAAGTACTGCATGTAACACACTCGGCACAGTGCTCGGCATATAATAAGCATTAAAAATGTGGCTATTCTAATTGTTCACTTGTGTTCTCCATTAGACTATGAACTTCTTGAGGATAAGGATGCCATTTACTCAGTATCCTCATTGCCTGGCACATAGGAGTTGTGAGTAAATGTTGAAGAAATCTATAAAAGATTATAGAAGCACATAAGTAAGGAAAGTATGAATGAGTGGCACCCTTCCCGTGATAACAACAGCAGGAAGGCTATGAGCTGAAATTAGGAGAAAAAGCTGAGATACTCAATAAGGACCTTTAAAACCTGGTCAGAACAAAAAGAAGAGCCTTTGATGGGGACTGAGTTTGTATCCATATAAATAAGATGGGAAAATATGGGCTGAATGTTGGGTAGAGAAATCA